TGGGTTTAGAAGCATGAGCGTGTGCATGCTGACTTGTTAAACTGTGTTCTTGCCTGCTCAGCAACCTTGGATGCTTTGGAAATAAAAGACTCTGGACCTTTATTCTCTATAGGATGGGATTGGTTATATGTCAATTGAACTACATTTTATGGTTCACCCTCTCATGTTCCCAAACAGAACTTCTTGTTTGCAAACAGTCCACACAGTATCAGCCCAGCTCCACAGAGAGAGCAGGCCCTTTGGAATTGGTGAGCCCTGGGTCTAGATCCTGGCTCCACAGCCATCTCAGCAGATACCTTGGGGGTGCCATCTGGTCTCCCTGAGGCTCAAGAGACAGTTTCCTCAAGGCGGGGAATGGTAATACTTCTTGCCCCTTTGGGCTAGGGAAGAGTGAAATGAGATAACACATCGAACACCCACATGGGGCCTAGGACAAAGGAGGTTTTTAAGAAAAGCTGCCTCCTGGGGCACCTGGGTGGCTCAGTCAGTTAAGCGTCTGACTTTGGCTCAGGTCATCATCTCATGGTTTGTGAGTTCAAGCCCCGCATTGGGCTCTGTGCTGACAGCTCGGAGCCCGGAGCCTGCTTCGGATTCTGTGTCTCTGTCTCTCTCTGACCCTCCCCAGCTTGCACTCTCTCTCTGTCTCTCAAAAATAAATAAACATTAAAAAAAGAAAAGAAACGCTGTCTCCTTCTGATGAAATGCATGAACAGAGCAGGACACACGAAGGCATTGAATACCATACATAGCGATAGAGTGACGGAGCGGCTGGTGGTACAGAATGTCAACAGGACAGCCATGGGGGTCCTGGCCTCCTTTCCAACCCTTTCCTGTCCTGCAGCCTGGTTCCCCCACCAGAGATGCTCTGTGATTCGCAGGTAAGTTCCTCACATCTTTAAGCAACCAGATCAACAACCCTCGTACACCATACCATACAGACCGTGCGTGCGTGCGAGGTCATCAGCTCTGTGCGGGAGAAGGTTGTTGAACAGATAGAGTCCACCTGTCCAGAGAGCAAAGGTGGGTACTTTATCACCTATCTGAGATACAGTCCCCATTAGGGACACACCTTTGGCGTGTTGCCCTGTTTCCTAGGGTTCTGTTCATGCTGGGGGAGGGGGTGCTGGTAACATGGTGGTGATTTCTCACATTTCCAGCAAGGGCCACCATTTATTGAGTTCCAACTCAGTACGCAGCACTTTAAGTCACGTTGACTCATAAATTCACAAGCATCCTGCCAGGGTTGATGTAATGATCCATCCCTTTCCATGTGGATGCACTGAATTTGCCCAAAGCCGTGACATCTAAGCTCATGCAGACAGCAGGATTTGAATCAGGCTCTATGCCTTGGGAACCATGTTCAAGAGGATAATCGGTGGAGAGCTCCTGACCAGGAGACAGGAAGAGCTGGTTCCGCCTTGGGTACCCCCAGACCAGCTCTGTGACTTCTGACAAATTACTCTGCCAGTCGGCCCGGCTTCATCCTCATCTTGTCTACATCACACGGTTTTTACAGAACGAAATGTGTGGGAAAGTGCTGGAAAACTGAGAGGGCTGCTCACAAGCAAACCTCCCAGCCCTGTGTGTGGGGGGGAGGGATCAGATCAATGACTTATCATCCTCATTCTGCAGTGAAGGAACTGAAGATCGGAGAGTCCACGGGGTCTATCTGAGCTTTTGATCTCCATGGGGTCAAGTGAGATCTAGTCATTTTGAGTCTGGCACATTCTCCACCCTCCCTCCTGCTCTTGATATGCACAAGGGTCTTGGCTCCCTAACTTGGGGTGCCCCCGTCTTCTGTGGCATTCTACTTTATCTTACCCTCTATCCCTGCCCTGCTGTAGACAGCCTGGGTCCCATCCCTCAAGCCTCGATCTCAGCTGGCTGATACCTAGGCATTTTTCTTTCCTGGAGCACTTTCATATGTAATGGTATACAGAGATTTCCAGAGTCTTCAAGGCCTGGAATAGTCATTCCCAATCCAAGCTGCATGTCAGAATCTCCTGGGGGCTCTTAGAATATTCTGAGGCACAAGCGCCACACCCAGACATTCTGATCTCACCCATCTGGGGCGGGCACCAGGAACTAGCATGTTTGAAGAACTCCCAAGGCTTCTGGAATGTGCCATCAGAGAACAGCTGTGGGTGGAAGTCACCGATCTTCCTTGGAAGATATCTGTGCCTTGGTCCAGGAGATTGCTTAGGAATGGGCTTCAGCTTAAACTTCACTTTTAACAGAGTGTTGTTAATATTTAAGCAATGGGAACGAGGTTCTTTCTCTAATCATTTCGTAAAGTAATTTCGCTCTGAGTGATGATCATGTTCTTACTTTCTATAGACTAGTCTTGTTTTTTAAAGTACTTATTTACTTATTTAAGTAATCTCTACACCCAACGTGGGGCTCAAACTCATGACCCCAAGATCAAGAGTCGCACCCTCCTCCAACTGAGTCAGCCAGGCACCCTTCCAGACTAGTCTTTTTATATAAGTTGAGTTTATTGAGGTTGCTCAAAAAGAAGACGACAGGTCCCAAATGGTGTCACTTGGACTGAGTTTTCAAACTGGGACTAACTACCGAATCTAATTGGAGTTTCAGCCTCCCCCAGAAATGTGGCCTCAACCAGTCAGGAAATTTTTCTTTCCATCAGCGTCAGTGAGCACCTGGGTCCTCTCCGACCCCCAAAGAAAGATGAGGTTTTCTGCATGTTAAGACCTTTTCCCCTAGAAAGCAGGCCTGCCAGGAACAATCTTTTCTTTTGCTAATAAGAACCCTCCATTTTGTTCAACTCCTTGGAGAGCCTCTCTACTTGTCGGATGGGGTGCGGCCCTACAGGAATGGTTTAATAAAGTTAGTTTGATCTTCGGATTTACTTGGTTCAATTTCATTACTTAACAAAAGTACACAACTGTTAGATGGAAACAAAGGAGAAATCCTCACTAGGCAAAGAATTCGTAGCTATGATACCAAAAAGTTAATCCATGAAAGAAAAAACTGACGAATTGGACTTCCCCAAAACTCAACTTACACTGGGTGAAAGAAACCAAATGAAAAGACAAGCTAAGGTGGGGAGACATTCTTTACAACTAACATCTTTGACAAAGGACTTCTATCCAGCTTGCATAAAGAATCCTTCAAAGTCAAGGGTAAAAAAACCAACAACTCAATCAAAACATGGAGAAAAGAGGGGCACTTGGCTGGCTCAGTCGGTGGAGCACGCGACTCTTGATTTCGGGGTTGTAGCTTTGGGCGCTACACTGGCTGTAAGGATTACTTAGAAAACAACAACAACATCAAAGGCGAGAACAGTCACCACACTAGAGAATACATGGATGGTAAACCAGCATATAAAAAAACTGCTCACCATCTTCAGCCATTAGTGAAATGCCAGTTAAAACCACATGGAGACCCCTCCCCACTCCCACACCGGTGAGGGTGGCTGAAATAAAAAACACTAGGGGCACCTGGGTGGCTCGGTCGGTTGAGCATCAGACTTCGGCTCAGGTCACGATCGCATAGTTTGTGAGTTCGAGCCCCGTATCGGGCTCTGTGCTGACAGCTCAGAGCCTGGAGCCTGCTTCGGATTCTGTGTCTCCCTCTCTCTCTGCCCCTTCCCTGATCCCACTCTCTGTGTCTCTCTCTCTCTCAAAAATAAATAAACATTAAAAAAATAAAAAACAAAAACACTGACAATAACAATTGCGAGGATGCAGGACCACTAGAAGTCTCCCACCTTGCTGATGGGAATGCAAAATGGCACAGCCACTTTGAAACAATTCTGGAAAACTGCTGGGCAGTTTCTTATAAGGTCAAAAATGCATTTATCATATGATCCAGAAATTGCACTACCAGGTACCTACCCTAGAAAAGTTAAAGCTCATTTCATCAAAGATTTGTACGCAATGGTTTTTAGTAGCTCTACTCTTGATTGCCAAAACTCAGAAACCACCCAAATCTTCTTCGATGGGTCAGCAGATAAACGAATTGTGGTCCAACTGAACACTACGGAATAACAGAGAAACGGTCCCTGATGCAAACAGCTACTTAGATTGATCTCAGAACGATGATGCACAGTGAAAGGAACCAGATCCAATAGGTCAGATACTGTAGGATTCCATTTATATGGCATTTTTGGAAAGGGAAAACGTAGGAGTGGAAAGCAGATCCTTGGGTTGCTGGGGTTACGGGAAGGGGTGGAGGTGGTATGATTACAAAGCAGTGACAAGAGAGTGTTTTGGAGCGATGGGGTCTTTACGCGTCCTGATTGGGGCAGTCGTGAGTACACAAACCTACATACATGTTAAAACTCAGAGTTTTACCCATTCCCAAAAGTCAATCTTATTAATAAAAATAAAAATAATAATGGGACGCCTGGTGGCTCAGTTGGTTGAGCATCTGACTCTTGATTTCAGGTGAGGTCACGATCTCACGGTCTGTGAGTTCGAATTCCGCATGGGGCTCTGTGCTGACAGTGTGGAGCGTGCTTGGGATTCTCTCTCCCCCTCTCTCTCTGCCCTTCCCCGGCTCTCTCTCTTTCTCTCTCTAAATAAATAAATAAACATTAAAAAAAAAGAAGAAGAAAAAGTAAGGAAAACCACTAGAAGTATAAATGCAGTTATAACTTCCAAACCGCTATAACAGACACAAGGTGAGGAGGCTGATAAAGATTTCATCAGTCCAATAGCAAGCAAGCAAGCTGAAAATACAAGGGAAAATGGCACCAGAAGTGGAAGACGCAAAATCGGATGGTATAAAGAGACATACCAGGAACACCGCAGATATACCAAGGCCACAGCAGTGGCCCCGTGGCCCCGTGACCGAGTCCTTGCGGATGAGATGTGAGTGCACACAGGGTGTGCCGATCCCAGGCCGGGGCTTCTGAAAGCCCCTGTGAAAGGCACACAGTTTATCGAAGGGAGGAAAGCGGATCCGCGTGGAGGGGTGCCGGGAGGGGGCTGGCCCTTCTCTTCCCTGGCGGTGGGGGGGTCGCCCTGGCTCCCTCCTCAGTAATGAACACAGTAGAGCTGGACGCTGCCACTGACCCGGAGCTCCCGCAGCCGCTCCAGGACCCGATGGTGCACACTGGTGGCCCCCAGGCCCTGCCCATTGAGCGCTAGCTTCAGCCCTCCCTCCTCGCATAGGAGCAGCACCTGGAAAAGGACGGGAAGGCTCTGCAGGCTCCCAGACAGACAGACGGACCGTGCACGGCCTGCCCGATGCCCCACCCAGCAAGCCCTCCCTTCAGAGGTCACAAAGACGGGAACCAGAGGGCACCTGGGGGTGGGAAAGAACAGGACTGGGTGTCGCGCTTGGCACCAGATCATTGTGACCTTCCCCAAGGATCATCTCTGCCCTGGTCCTTGGTTTCACCATCTGTGCCGGTGGCGTTCCCCTGAGCAGTGGGCTCAACCCCAGCTGCACTTCAGAGTCATTAGAGGGTTTGTTTGTTTGTTTGTTTGTTTGTTTTTTAAATAACACCAATGCCAGGGGCAGCCCTGATTAACTGCATCTGTGTTTGGGGAGTGGAGGGTTGAGTGCCTCGGCACAGACGTTTTCTCTGCCAGGCTCTGGTCCCAGCCGCGCACCCTCCACCCGTGACCCCAGGACGCACCCCTGTCTCCCCCCACCCCTTCTGGGAAGGCAGCTTTCTGCCCCCCAGGAGGGACGAGGCCACTTGGCTCTGACTGACCTCGAAGAATCGCCGGGGGTAGAACACGAAGGGGGCTGAGATCAGCTTCTTGCACCCCCAGGGCGAGATCCAGGCCAGAGTTCTGTCTGCGAAGGAAGCCCTGAGCGTCACGGGAACGTGAGCCGCCTCGTCCCGCAGGCTCAGCGTGAAGCTGCAAGAAGGGGTGAGAGAAGGGGCCGCCTCTGAGCTGTGGCTGCCAGACCCTGAGGGGAGGGATGGAGGTGGGCGAGCAGCTGGAAGGTTCGGCAGCCCGGAGGGGGTGGGAACACTAGAGCGAGTCTCAAGCACAACACCACGCATTGGCCAAGGTCCACGGGGGAGCACGTGACCTTGTCTGAGCCTCATTTCCCCTTCCTCAAAATGGGGATAATTATATTCGTAGTCGCTAATGTTCACGAAGTGTTATAGGGCAGGTATTGTCTTGCAGGGGTTAGAGCCAGGCTACCTGGCTGCCACCCTGCTCTGTTACTTTCTAGTCCTGCGAGCTTGGGCAGGTCACTTATTGTCTCTGTGCCTCAGTCTCCTCATCTGTAAAGTGGGGAGAAGAGTATTATACGTGCCTCATGAGTTGTGAGAACTGAGTTAACATATGTCAAGTGTGAGAACAGCACTTAGTAAGCACACAAATCATACCTATTGTTTAAAAAATATTACTATGTAGGGGCGCCTGGGTGGCTCAGTCGGTTAAGCGTCCGACTTTCGCTTAGGTCACGATCTCGCGGTTCGTGGGTTCGAGCCCCGCGTCGGGCTCTGTGCTGACTGCCAGCTCAGAGCCTGGAGCCTGTTTCAGAGTCTGTATCTCCCTCTCTCTCTGACCCTCCCCTGCTCACACTGTCTCTCTCTCTCTCTTCTAGAAATAAATAAGAAAAAAAGAAAAAAAATATTACTATGTAATACAATAGATAGGAACAAAGGAGAGAATGGACGTGAAATCCGGCAAGGCACACTGGAGGTGTTTTACTGGCTACTGTTTGCTTTTCTGGAGTCCTCACAGAAATCCTGTGCCTTGTGGATCATCAGCCCGTATAACTGATGGGGACAAGAAGTTCCGGGACCGGCTCTGGGACTAGTAAGAGTTGTAGGGCTTTGGGCTGGGATGCGAACACCGCAGGACTCCAGATCTGAGGGTCTTCCTGCTCTCTGGCGTCCACCTCTCACAGGGCAGCCGGATTCTGTCTCAGGTCCTGGGAGCTTCCAAAATCACTTTTGAAGCAAAACCCCTGAAGCTACTGATGACTGACTCCTGGGCAGGAAGCGGTTGATAGTTGGGAGGCCAGGATGCACGTGGTGGGACAAAGAGTGGAAAAGGGATCCCATTGGATCTGGGCCAGGAAGCCACCCCATACATTTCCAGCTTTGGGCGGGAGCCAGCAAGGGCTCATCCCTGGGAAGAAGCTTGGAAGGCAGGGACCCCGCCTCCAGCCCCAAACCCTTTCCCCCTGTGCTTCCCCAGAAAAGTCTTTGTCTTCCCATTGGCCTAAGAATTCTTAGAGGCCTCAGTGTCCCCACCCTGGCTCCGCTCCATCCAGCACAGCCCCCGGCTGGGTAACAGACTCCCTGTGGACACCTAGTGAAGTTCTGTGGAAGCTCTTAGCAGCTGCAGCATCCCCACACCCTCAGGGCTTGGGGGGAGGGCTGGAGAGGAAAGGACAGATGTTTGACGCAGACGAATTCCGAGCCCTCTAACTCTTACTCCCTCTGTCCAACTCAAGCCACAGTTGCCTCCAGAAAACAACAGTAACAGCCGCATTTATCTCAGACTGGCTAGATGCCAGGTACTGTGCTACATCTTAATGTCAGTGACCCACGGCTGAAGTGGCCTGGAGAAACGTCCAGGCTGGTCCCTCGTGTTCTTTAACTTCAAAGTACTACGGTGGTCAGAAATTGAGCAACTTTGTATGAAAGATGGCTTCCAGCTTCTCTTTTAAAATAATCAGAAGATCCAGCATGAGTGGGTCTATGGAAATATTCTTTCCACTTTGCCTTCCCAGCCTGGCACTTCCCAGCCCGGGACTTCGCTATTCCTGTGACCTGTCAGGCCTTTGAGGGCATGTGAATTCTATGTCCTTGAGAAAAGCAGCCAAACTACTTGTTGTGTCACTAATAATAACCATTAGACTTTTCATTGGTTGCATTCCTGTACACCCATTATGAAGCAGCAGAAAGAGAAATCGAGGAATCGATCCCATTCACAATTACACTAAAAAACATAAGATACCTGGGAATACACCTAACCAAAGAGGTGGAAAATCTACACACTGAAAACTACAGAAAGCTTATGAAGGAAAGTGAAGATGACACAAAGAAATGGAAAAACATTCCACGCTCACGGACTGGAAGAACAAATATTGTTAAAATGTTGATACTCCCCAAAGCAATCTACATATTCAATGCAATCCCTATCAAAATAGCACGAGCAGTCATCACAGAGCTAGCACAAACAATCCTAAAATTTGTACGGAACCAGAAAAGACTCCCGAATCGCCAAAGCAATCCTAAAAATGAAAACCAAAGCTGGAGGCATCACAATTCCGGACTTCAAGCTGTGTTACAAAGCTGTAATAATCAAGACAGTATGGTACTGGCATAAAAACAGACACTTAGATCCATGGAACGGAATAGAGAACCCACAAACCCATGACCAATTAATCTTTGACAAAGCAGGAAAGAATATCTAATGGAATAAAGACAGTCTCTTCAGCAAATGGTGTTGGGAAAACTTGACAGCAACATACAGAAGAATGAACCTGGACCACTTTCTTACACCATACACAAAAATAAACTCAAAATAGATGAAAGACCTAAACATAAGACAGGAAGACATCAAAATCCTAGAGGACAAAACAGGCAATAACCTCTTTGACCTTGGCTGCAAAAACTTCTTACTTGATATGCCTCCAGAGGCAAGGGAAACAAAAGCAAAAATGAACTATTGGGACCTCATGAAAATAAAAAGCTTCTGCACAGTGAAGGAAACAATCAGCAAAACTAAAAGGTAACTGTCAGAATGGGAGAAGATATTTGCAAACGACATATCAGATAAAGGGTTAGTCTCCAAAATCCTTAAAGAACTTGTCAAACTCAACACCCAAATAAAACAAATAATCCAGTGAAGAAATGAGCAAAAAACATGACTAGACACTTTTCCAAAGAAGTCATTCAGATGGCTAACAGACACATGAAAAAAATGCTCAGCATCATTTATCACCAAGGAAATACAAATCAAAACTACTATGAGATACTACCTCACACCTGTCAGAATAGCTAACATTAACAACTCAGGCAACAACAGAGGTTGGCGAGGATGTGGAGAAAAGGGAACACTTTTGCACTGGTGGTGGGAATGCAAACTGGTGCGGCCACTCTGGAAAACAGTATGCAGGTTCCTCAAAAATTTAAAAATAGAACTACCCTATGACCCAGCAATTGCACTACAAGGTATTTATCCAGGGGATACAGGGGTGCTGTTTCAAAGGGGCACATGCACTCCAATATTTATAGCAGCGCTATCGACAATAGTGAAAATATGGAAAGAGCTCAAATGTCCATCAACTGATGAATGGGTGAAGAAGATGTGGTGTGTATATTCAACGGAATATTACTTGGCAATGAAAAAGAATGAAATCTTGCCATTTGCAACAACGTGGATGGAACTAGAGGTATTATGCTAAGTGAAAGAAGTCATCAGAGAAAGAGAAATATCATGATCTCACTTATATGTGGAATTTAAGATACAAAACGGATGACCATAAGGGAAGGGAAGCAAAAATAAGATAAAAACAGAGAGGGAGGCAAACCATAAAAGACTCCTAAATACAGAGAAGAAACTGAGGGTTGCTGGCAGGGAGTTGGGTGGGGGGAAGCCCTAAAGGGGTGAGGGGCTTGGGACACTGGTTGGGATGAGCCCTGCGTGTTATATGTAAATGATATGTAAGTGATGAATCACTAAATTCTACTCCTGAACAAATATATAGTTGGATTAAAAAAATAAAATAGATCATTAAATCTAAAAAAAATGTATAATAACCATTAGACTTTGAGCTAGGACCTAAAGCTGATGTCATGTCTCCATGTTGTGTTGGGGCGGGTGTTCCTTCTATCACTGAGGACTTTTTCATTTTTCCTTTGCAACTGAGATGATCTTTCTCCTTTACTTCTGATGGGAGAAACTCAGGACTCCAGCCACAGAGAGGTGTGGTGCCTTCCCCAAGACCACATAGTTTATGGGAGGCAAAACCAGGATTCCAACCCAACTGTGCCTGGCTTTGGAGGTTGGTGCCGTCCAGGGCTGGGCTGCAAGTCTGCCCCAGAGCTCACAGGTCTGATCAAGAGCATGCAGGGGCAACAGTGTAATGAGGTCAGTGTTTTCAATTTTTTAAAAATGTTTTATTTATTTCTGAGGGAGAGAGAGAGAGAGAGAGAGCATGAGCAGGGGAGGGTCAGAGAGAGAGGGAGACACAGAGGCTCCAGGCTCTGAGCTGTCAGCACAGAGCCCAACGCGGGGCTCCAACCCACGAACGGTGAGATCATGACCTGAGCCGAAGTCGGACGCTTAACCGACTGAGCCCACCCGGGAGCCCTGAGGTCAGTGTTTTCAAAATCAAAACCAAAACCGAAACAGAAAGGGAGAATACAGGGCACCCTTCTTCCTCTCCTGCCCCCTCCGTGGAGATAATTCTGCTACTGTCACATTTGTGGAGCCCTTACTACGTGCCTGGCACAATTCTAAGCATGTACCCACCCCTGAGGCTGGCAGTATCATTACCTCTTTTTACGGACAAGGATATTGAAGCCCAGAAAGGAAAAGAAGCTGCCTTGAAGGTGCACAGGGAGGAAGTGTCCTCAGCAGAAGTCAAACCCAGGCGACCTGGCCCGGAAAAGTCATGAAATCCAGTGCGATTCCAGCAAGAAGGAAAGGAGACCGGGCAGAAGGCAAGGAGGGGAGAGAGGAAGAAAGAGACTCTAGTCTGGCTCAGAGCCACTAGGGTTTGAGAGATGGAGCAGGAGCGCCCCCTGTAGGAGAGGTCAGGCAGCATCCGCTTAGTTCGTGTGTGGCTCCAAGCTCCCAATGCCTCCTCTCTGGGGCGGCTCAAACCACCGCACTGCCCCCCCCCCCCCCCCCCCCCCCCCCCGCGGTGTCACCCTGGCAGGTGGAGTTCGCTCTTTGGGTCTCAGCTTGAGCCTTGAAAGGATCTTTCCCGGAGCCCCAGTTGGGACCTGCGACGAGAGGCTGGTTGGCCTGACTAGATGTACAGGCAGGGAAGATACTCCCAGAACTGGGGCTGTCCGGGGCCCTGGAGGCAGCCTGAGCACTGGTGGCCCCAACCACAGAGCGACGCTGTTGGAGATGAAAGAAGTGATGCATGTAAAGCGCATGCATGGCTCAGGGATGCTTCTCCCTCCCTCCCACCTGGAGACTTACTCCTTTGGCTCTGGCAAGACCAGCCCCCGCAGAACGATGACCTGTCCCGGCCAGAGACCCTTGGGAAGGGCCCGCGAGCAGGGCACCTCCTGTAGGGGGACGGAGATAAGTGAGGAGGGACACACGGAGGGGCTTGGGGAGGGCTGCCGCCCCCCAGGGGCCATGGAGCGCTCGAGCAGGGAAGTCTGGCTTCAGGCCTGCAGCCGGGAGAAGACTCGGCTTTGCTCATTTATTAGACACCTGTTGCAGGCCTGGTCTCCTATGCACGACTCTCCCTGGCCTTTCAGGCCCCCCCCCCCCATCCCAGTCCTGAGCGCCAAGTATATTCCGGATCGCTGTACCCTGAATTGTAATGGCCGGTTCACTGGTCTGTCTCCCCACCAGCCTGCTGAGACTGGCTAGTCCCTCTGTCCTAGAGCCTGGCACCGGGCCAGGCACAGAAGAGTATCAAGTAATTGTCTTCAGAATAAATGGAGAAAAGGCAAGAAGCGGGAGCTTTAGCCCAAAGCTGCCAGACCCACCGGCAGCCCGCAAGCTTCTTCTATAAAGGAAGGGGAAACCTTGGTGCTGAGGGCATTTCCCACTGGGGGTGGGGGTGGGGGCAGGGTGCCCACCCAGGACGACCCAGGAGGGAGGTCACTCACCAGGCTGGGGCTCTTCAGCAGGAAGGGCTGTCAAGGGAAGAAAAGGGACATGGAGGCCATGTGGTATTAGCTCGGTGGAAGAGAGCTTCTTAATATTATTACCAAGGATTGGGGGTGTTTGGGGTTTCTCTCTCTCAAAGACAATGCAGGTGCATGATTGGAGCTCAGGACACCAGCTCTGGGATAATGGGGAAGTGCCGGAGAGAGGGCCTGTCATTCACTTATTGGCATGGCCTTGGGCCTCCCCTCCCCTCTGCCCTGCAGGCCAAGCCCAGCTTCCTCGGGGGGTTTCTGGGAACAGAAATCACCCCCTGAGAGGGATCTCCTGATGGCCATACTGGGGCTCCGCCCATTCTGGGCAGCCAGCCTACCCCACCCATCTTCCCAAGCCCAAGGGGCTCAGGCTGGGAGAGGAAAATCCCGGCTGGCCAGGGACGGAAGTGGGGCCAGCGGTATCCGTGGCAACTGTGCAGGAGGGAAGGGGCAGCTGGCTCTTGTCAACCAGGTCAGGCTGGGGGAGGAAGGAGCTCAGTGGCTCAGCTCACGGGGCTGGACAAGGGCCGACCGTGCTCCCCAGAGACTCACATATCCAACTGGATACTCGCTACTGCCCTCTGGAAATGGCTGTCGGGAAAGAAAAAGCAACACGCGGGATTCAGGACCACTGCAGGCTCTGAGGACCATCTGGGGGGCTCCCGCCTGCCCTGCCTGCGCCCGGGAGGGGGCCAGAGGCTGGCTTTGGTAGGTCCTCATTCTCCCCCTTGGCCTCATTAGCAGTTCTCAAACCTGGCATTTGAACATGTTGATTCCTAGGCCCCACCTCAGGCTTACTGAGTCAGAATGTCTGGTGGTGGGGCTTAGGAATCTGCATTTTTATTTTTATTATTATTTTTAATGTTTATTTTTGAGAGAGAAACAGAGCGTGGGCAGGGGAGGGGGCAGAGAGACAGAGACAGAATGTGAAGCAGGCTCTAGGCTCCGAGCTGTCTGCACAGAGCCCGACATGGGGCTCGAACTCACAAACCGTGAGATCATGACCTGAGCCGAAGTGGGACACTTAACCTACGGAACCACCTAGGTGCCCCTAGGAATCTGCATTTTCTTTCTTTTCCTTTTTTTAAAATTTTTAATGTTTTATTTATTTCTGAGAGAGAGAGGCAGTGTGAGCAGGGAAGGGTCAGAGAGAGAGGGAGACATAGAATCCAAAGACAGTCTCCAGGCTCCAAGCTAGCTCTCAGCACAGAACCCAACGCAGGGCTCGAACCCATGAATGGTGAGATCATGACCTGAGCCGAAGTCGGACGTTTAACCGACTGAGCCACTCAAGCACCCCGGAATATGCATTTTTAATAAGCACCTCGGGTGGAAATGGCATAGCGAGTTACTGTTTGGGCCCCTGGCTCCAAGCGTCCAAGCGATTCACTTCCTGGCCATGGCTCTTGGGTCCCCTTCTGTGGTCCCCTTCTCATTCCACACCTTGATGGCCCCCTTCCACCTTGGTTGTCACTGGTATGACAAGGCCTGTCTGGGGCGGCAGGAGGTCCTGAGCCTGTCTAGGCATCAGGGGAAGTGGCCACTCAGAACGTACGATGGCCCCAAGGGAACTCACGTTGATGTTCAGGAATCCAACGGCCTCCACCAAGATGTCACCGAATATCCCCAGGGTGTCCACACGGGACAGTGGGAGCCGGTAGCGGTAGTGGAGAAAGTGCTGCCCATTCACGCTCACCTGGAGGGACGGACAGATACGTATGTGCCAGGCAACGGTGGGCACTCTCATCTGGAACGTCCCTCATTGAACTTGACACCAACTTGATGGGCACGATTTACAGACGAGGTGCCCAAGGGTTTGGGGAGCTTATGTGACTTTCCCAAGGTTGCCCAGCTGGCAGACGGCAGGGCTGGCCTTGGGACCAAAGCACCTCTCACTGTCCCTCTGTGTCCCTCTGCCTGGCACACAGCACTTTCCCCACGCTGTCCCTCATTTGTCTCTCAGCAGATCTAGTGGCCTCAGAGCCCCATCTACACACAGATGAGGAAGTGGAGGTCCAGGAGGCCATGTGACCCCTACACCATAGGGCCCTCCCTCCACTCCCCTTTCCCCTGGAGAGGTCAAGGTCCTGGCGTCTTTCTGGCGGGAGCCCACATCTGCGGTGAAAGCCTTGAGGTGGAGTTCTCTCTCCCTGCCCCCTGCCCACTCCGCTCCCTCCCTGGTGGGGAGGATGTGACGACCCACCTCATCCACAGTGTGGTGAGGATTCGGGGTGGCCCTGCACATCGCAGGCGCTCTCGAGGTCCTCGCCATGACCGTGGCAGTAGGGCCCTCCCCAGGGCCACGCATGACAGGGCTTTCTTGCCGCCACGCGAGCCCAGTGCAGCTTGGAACTGAGCTTGGCGGCTGCTTGGCCCTCCCGGCAATGCCCCTCAACACAGTGACATGGGGCATCCAGGCAAAGGAAGGAGGAGTGTCTAGCAGGCTCTAGACACCGAGGCCCGTCCCTTCCACCCACCTTCATTTCCTCATTTCCGAAGAGAAAGAGGAGGAAGAAGCTGGCTCCTCTCTGCAGGTCCACGTGGGGCCACCGGGCCTCGGTCTGCCAGCGTTCGAGGTACAGGGTGTTACAGATGACATGGGGCTTGGCGGTGTGCAAGCGGGGGTTGAAGTGGATGGCGATGTCTGGCCGGGGGTACAGGCTGCAGCCGCACTGGAAGTCTACCTGGAACCTGGTGGGCATCCCTGGTCAGAGACCCCCCCAAGACACCCCAAAGGCAGAGAGGGGCCCCCAGCTCCCCACTGGAGCACCCCCTTACCTGCGTGCATTGAGAGGGACCACTCCCTGGAGCATGACCATCTTGCCTGCCCGCAGGCCACCGAAAATTGTCGTGACATACGGAACAATCTGAACGAGGGGAGAAACCTCTCCATACGGGGCTGGAGAAAGGGCTTTACGAGGACCAGGTGGGTGGGAAGAGAAGGAGAACACGAGAACTTGACTCCCCTGCCCCCAACAGAAACTGCCCTTATGGGGAAAAGGAATCTTCTCTGAAATGTCTGTTCTCTTCCACCTTCTCCCCTTTCCTGGACCTTCACATGTCAAAGCCGTGTTGCCCTGGAGAGGCCAAGTTCAGTTCCATCGCCCCCTTGGAGCGCCAGCCTTGACCTCTCTTCAGCTCCTTGGGCACAATAGTATCCTCAGTGAGACCTGTTGTCCACTGGATGCCACCTCGGCCTCTAGGACCCTGGTATGAAGGTTTTCCGAGGACTGTTTATTGGCCCAGAGCCCAGAAAATGGGGGCGGTAGGGGGGTAGTTGGGTGGCCAGAAGGATGGACAAGTTGGAATCTTGATATAGACGCCTGGAGAGATACCCAATGGTGGCCCAGCCTACGGCCCCAGGCTTCGCTTTCCCCAATGAGAAGCTGTGCGCAATTCCTAAAACACGCACGGGGCTGCTTCCTCTGCTCTCCCTCCAGGCTGGGAAATCCAACTTGACCTTCAAGGTTCTCTGACACCTTCTCCAAGCACTGTCCACTATGGCGCCTGAGTTTTCCCTTCCCTCCCCTGTTGTTCCCAGAATGCTTCACTCGCATGGCTGCTTGGCAGTTGGCTGGCTTAAAAGGGAGACCAGGGGCCTGGCTGGTTCTGCTGGGTGGCCCAGGCCACTCAGAGCTGAAGCCCTATCTTTCCCTTCTGTGCTCAGCGCCCAGCCTGGCACAGCGTGGGCTCTGAACGGCTGTTTGCAGAATGAATGTGAACATGTAGCAGGTACGGGCTGGCATACATGTGTTCTCCAGCTCCCAGTGGCCTTTAGAAGCCAGAACCATCTAGAAGGAGCTGAGCCCCAACAGTGCTGCCCTCCAGGCAGGAGCTGGCAGCTTGCAAAGTGAGGAGTGGTAGTGATCTGGGCAGCTGTTGCACCCCATTACTCAGGCACCTGGGGAGACGCTGGAGCCCCACAGGCTCCAGAGGGCCCACAGCTGAGCTGGCCTCAGCACCCCAGTCCCCGCTCCCCCCTCCCCACTTCCCAGGCTCCAGGCCTGGCCTATAATTAGGTAGCTGGTGTAGCTCTCCTGGGGGGAGAGGGCCAAGTAAAGAGAAAGTGATCATTAGTGCTCATTGATGGGAGGGCGGAGAGTGCTGGGTGTTCAGCCTTCCGTAAAGCAAGGCTAGACTTCAGAAAATCTGCATGGGGGCCCCTGGGTGGCTCAGCTGGTTAAGGGCCCGACTCTTGGTTTCCACTTGGGTCACTTGGGTAGTTGGTTACTACCCCGTAGCCCAGAGCCTCCTAGCCACCCCTCACGCAGCAGGAGTACAGCACTGACTCCGGACAGGCTCTACTGCTTTTAAAATGTAGGGACCCTGTGAGCCCAACCATCGTTCCCACCTGAGTGGGAATGAGCTGGTCAGGAGGGCCTTTGCTAAGCTCAGGAGAGCCTTCCAGAGTCCCTGGGCAGGTGCAGGGCGAGCAGGGCCCAAGACTGAAGGCCTGTCCATTCACTGCCAGGAGTCTGGGCCCCGCTGGGGTAGGGGGAGCCCTAACACCTGGAGATTCCAGACCCCAGCGGCAGCTCACCGGGTGGAAGACAGGCGGCTGTAGGATGAAGGTGTCAGGAAGTGGGTCCAGTTTTTCTCCTGGTGACATGGGGGTGGAGCGCCTCCAGCTCGACCTGCTGATCCAGATCCCAGGAGCCCTGCCCCCACTCACTTGCCTTCCCCAGCCGGGATCGCAGGTGCCAGGATCGCTCTCCCAGCTGTTAGTGTCACCTGCGCCCAGCAGGGCCCCAGTGCCTCCTGCAGCAGGCCTGGGGGGCAGGTCTGGGCAGCGGTCCACCCCCGGTCCACACCCCAGTTCCCGTCCCGCCGGCTGGATTGGGGCCGGCGCAGAGATCCGAGTCCAGGAGCAGGAAGCTTAAACTCACTAAGCAGCCAGCTAAGCAGCCCCTGCCCCCACCACGTACACCGGGGTCTGAAGCACTGAGCTGTTGCAGAGGGAGGGCAGAAGCAGGCTCTTCTAGGGCCTCGGAGGGTTTGTGGTTTCTGGGGCTCTCATCTGAGCTCTCCCCAGTCAAAGGCAGGGGTGATGGTGCACGTGGGCGGGTCCCAGGAGAAGCCCCGCCCCAGCTTCTTGGCCTCCCTCCGGTGGCTTCCCATTCCCTACTCCGTTCCTGCTATGAGGTTTTTATCTCTTCCCTTCGTTCCCCTGTCCCTTCCTCCACTTTTCTCCCTTTTGCAAGATTTACAGTCCCTTGAGGCTCCTCCATTGCAGCTTCAGCTAAAAATGCCAAGGCGCAGCTGCGTTCACGGGAAAGGAGGGGGGGGATGGGGAGAAAGGGGCAGGAAGACAGGAGCGCCCCCTGAAGCTCAGAAAAGGCAGCTGCTTAACCGACTGAGCCACCCAGGCGCCCCTCTCAGGACCAGTTTTGAACCATCCCTGAACAGAAGCGGGGGATAATGAGCAGAAATCCTGGAGGAAGAATCCATAGAACCCGACAGCTGGCTAGAGAAGGAAGATGAGGAAAAGGAGCCAGAAAACAAAACAAAAGACTCCAGCATCTTGAACCAAAGGATTGGGGAGAGCCTGATGCACTGATGGAAAAAGAGGGAAGCTGTGGATACCACCTGGATGGGTGTGAGCCGGCAAACTCTGGGGGAGACCATTTTGGAGGATGTGGGGGTGCAAGGATTGGCCTGGATAGAGCCTGGGCAGGGGATGTTCAATCAGCATTTGTTGAAGGCACGAAGGTGCTATTGTCTGGACGCATGTTAATATACTCTGGAGAAAACCGTTGCAATTTATTCTGATGCTCTTTTGCCCTGTGAGTGAGTTTTCGTGGTTGCAGCCATTTCACATGACTAAGTGCCGTGGCCATCAAAGGGAGAGGCAATCACTCTTGCTCTCAGGGGGCTTCCAGTCTAATTGGAGAGATGACATACCCTTGGAGGGGAAGGAAAGTCAATAGGACAGAGCCAACTGCTTTTTATCTATCATTTTCCCCCAGAGAGACCGAACCATCTGGACAGAAATACTGTAAAACGGGGGAAAGAGCAAGCCTCACCGTCACCTCCATAGGCTAATACGACACTTCTCATTGCTTTGATGTATATCCTATGACCCTTCTTCCCTCCCCCATGGAACAGAAGTTTATTGCAGAATCTCAACCAAAAACTTGACATAGCTTGATTTTTATTCCCAACCACGGCTCTTGACCATGTATGTTGACTCTTTCTTTCCTGCGGAGTTGCAGACCCCATAATATCCCAGACAGTTCCTGTCACCTTCCAATTACTTTTGGCTACTGAAACTCAACACAGTTTAGCCCTGGTCATCCATGGTTGGTGACATCCCAGAAAGATACAGAAGCAGACATAGGTACTTCCCGATGGAAGAACGCATTGACGCTAATGGAATCCTCTCGAAGAAAAAGTCACCTAATTTGAATTTGATGGAGTCTCTATATTTAGTTACCAGTATCTAGGAATAGAGGGCACAAATGATTGTATTGAGCAACAGCAGCAAAAATTCAGACTGTCGGAGCCTTTACAAGACAACTCTGGTTCTCTCTTTTCTTCCTTCTAAATATGGAACGCTTCCTGAATGTGCGTGTCATCCTCGGGCAAAGGCCGTGCAAGGCCTCATCTCAGTATTGTTCCAACTTTAGCAGGTACACCGCCCACACCAGCGACCCTGTTTCTTCAATGAAAAAGTTTTGAGGAAGAAAAGAGGTGGAGAAGAAGCCTGTAAGATTGGAGGTTGGCAAATGTTTTCTGTAAAGAGCCAGTGAGTAAAAATATTTAAGCTTTGAAGGCCATAAAGTCTCAGATGCCACGGCAACTTCACATCCCTGACCTTGTAGTGCTGAAGTTGCCAAACACAATCTGAAAATAAGGGGCTTTAAAAGGTTGAATAAAGGGGGTTTAAAGGTTATGTTTCAATCAAACATAGATGCTGAAAGTTGGATTGCATATAGTTTTCACATGACACAAATACTCTTATTTTCTAAATGATTTAATAGGGGTGCCTGGGTGGCCCAGTCGGTTAAGTGTCTGACTCTTGATTTCAGCTCAGGTCATGATCTCGTGGTTCATGGGATTGAGCCCCACATCGGGCTCTGTGCTGACAGTGCAGAGCCTGCTTGGGATTCTCTCTCCTCCTGCCCCTCTTTCAAGATAAATAAATAAACTTAAAAATTTCTATAAATGATTCTTTTGTGTTTTTAAATTTTTTTAATGTTTATTAATTTTCGAGAGACAGAGTACAAGTTGACAAGGGACAGAGAGAGAGAGAGAGAGGGAGACATAGAATCCAAAGGAGGCTCCAGGCTCCGAGCTGTCAGCACAGAGCCTGATTTGGGGGTTGAACCCATGAACCATGAGATCATGACCTGAGCGAAAGTCGAACGTAAAACTACCAGAGCCACCCAGACATTCCTATAAATGATTTAACAGTGTATAACGCCAGTCATAGCTCTCAGGCCATACAAAAACAGCCAATGGGTGAGTGGTAGCTAGTGGGTAGTTGATGATTCCTACTTTAACAAAAAGAAATTAAGAAGCACATCAACTGATTATAATTATGGGTTCATTTGGATTTTGTTTCACACAAAAACCACTTCAAAACCATATAAGCAACATCAGGACGATGTAGACTTTGATTGGCTCTTTGATGATATTACGGAACTGCTAAAATGCATTTAAATGTGCTAACGGTATTGTGGTGATCTTCATTTTTAAAAGATTCCTTATCTTTTAGAGATATGTACAGAAATATTTACAGATGAAATGATAGGGCATCTGGCATTTGCTCCAAAATAATCTGGTTGTTGAGAGGAAATGGGTGGAAGGTATTGATGAAGCAAGACTTGCCATGCACTGCACACTAGAGCAGCTGGGTGAAAGGTAAATGGGAATCCATTATTCTGTTTCCTCTACTTTTATTTTTGTGTGAACATTTCCATAATGTTTGAGCACGCATGTTAAAATTTCAAGGGCAATAATAAAAGAGTAGAGGGTAAACTTCCAAATAAGGAGAGGGAAACATGTAATAAACCTAAGATCAAATCTTTATGAAGAATAATATAAAGTTTATTTATTTATTTTGAGGGAGATAGAGAGGAAGACTCCCAAGTAGGCTCCACGCTCCACGCTGACTGCGCAGAGCTTGATGCGAGGCTCAAACTTATGAACCGTGAGATCATGACCTGAGCAGGAATCAAGAGTTGCATGCTTACCCGACAGCCATCCAGGTGTCCCCGCCCCTACAAAAACAATATAAAACTTCACTGAAAGAGGTTAAAGGAGACTTAACAAATAGATGATATGTAATCGATTGGAAGACTCCATTTTGTAAAGATGTCAAAAATTGCCAAGCTGGTTTTATTGACACAGTGTAATTTCAATCAAGTTGTCAAGAGTATTTTGAGCAATTTAACAAGCTAATATTTATGGAAGGAGAAAAGCCCAAGAATGGTCAAAAAGCTCCTGTGGAAAATAAGAAGGGGGTCTGAAACCTCAAGATTTAAAGATATAATGATTAAAATCCCTTGATAGTAGCACAAAGACAGGCACATTTACCAGTGGTGTAGAAAAGAACCAGTAATATTCTTGCTCATTCACCAAAGCCTGAGGCATGATAGACGTGGTCTTGCTCATTACTGGGGGAAGAAGAAACTATCAATAAGTTAGGCTGAGATAAATCATATGGGAATTAACCATAGGGTGGAAATCAGTTCTGGTTAGAGTAAATGAAAAAGGCAAATTTTTGAAACTTTCACAAGAAAATATAGAATAGTTTTCAGACTTAGGGGCAAGGAAGGACTTCCTGGAAAGACATGGAACACCAGGGGCGCCTGGGTGGCTCAGTCGGTTAAGCGTCTGACTTTGGCTCAGGTCACGATCCCACGGTTCGTGGGTTCAAGCCCTGCATGACGTAGGGCTCTGTGCTGACAGCCAGCTCAGAGCCTGGAGCCTGTTTCAGATTCTGTATCTCCCTCTCTCTCTGACCCTCCCCTGCTCATGCTCTCTCTCTCTCTCTCTCTCTCTCTCAGAAATAAATTTTTAAAAAATTAATTTAAAAATTAAAAAAAAAAAGACATTGAACGCTAACCCCAAAGAAAGGACTGATAAGGTCTGCTTCATTAAAGTTAATAATTTCTCCTTATCAGGAGACTTCTGGAAAGAAAGTGGAAAGATAAGCCATCAACTGGAAGAAAATATGAAAAAAAAACCCAAATACAACTGACAAAGATGACTGTCAAGAACATATAAACAGCTTCTATATATTAATAAGCAGACAACTTCAAAGAAAACTGGGCAAAAGACACAAACAGGCACTTTGTAAAAGAGGCAATCTAAATGGCTATGCATATATGTAAAGGTTTCAATCTTAGTGATCAGTGAAATGTAAATTAAGACTTCCAGTAAAAAAAAAAAAAGTTTTTTATAGGACTAGAATCAAGCATCTCTTTAAGTTAATTTTTAAATATATATATATATATTTTTTTTTTTTTTTGAGAGAGAGAGAAAGAGAGCAAGCAGAGGAGAGGCAGAGAGAGGGGAACAGAGGATCTGAAGCAGGCTCTGTGCTGACAGCAGAGATCCTGACACGGGGCTCAAACTCACGAGCCATGAGATCATGACCTGAGCTGAAGTCAGATGCTTAACCGACTGAGCCACTCAGGCACCCCCCGCCAAAACACATCTTCTACTAAAACTCCTTAGTAAAAGACTATTTGACATCCACTCACCTGGAAAAGGTAACTAACTAAGAATTGGTGAAGATGTAAACCCACAAGAATTCTTACACACGCTCGTAGAAGTGAAATTGGTGCCTTCAGTGGGGAACACGTTTTAGTATTCTGTTGTAAGGTTAACTATGTGCATACCTTCCTGGGTGCTAAATTCTGTAGACTGTCTCACATGCGCACACCAGGACACGATTTGGGCTATTTTTAATAGTTTCGAATTCCAAATTAGGAAAAAAACACCAAGTGGCTTTGTCACAGGATTGATAAAGGGTGGTGTATTCACAGAACGGAATATTTTTTTTGAAGCGAATATGAATTAGAGATCTGCACGGTAGTATGTATGTATTGCAGAAACAGCTTTGAAAGAAGCCAGTTGTAGAAGATAACGCACAGCTTACCATTTTAAAAAAATATTTTTTATTTATTTCTGAGAGAGAGAGAGAGAGACAGCGTGAGCAGGGGAGGATCAGAGAGAGAGGGAGATACAGAATCTGAAGCAGGTTCTAGGCTCTGAGCTAGCTGTCAGCACAAAGCCGGACACGGGGCTTGAACCAACGAACTGTGAGATCATGACCTCAGCCGAAGTTGGACGCTTAACCAACTGAGCCACCCGGGCACCCCCAGCTTACCATTTTTTAAATGTTTATTTGTTTTTAAGGTAGAGGGACAGAACATGAGCAGGGAAGAGGCAGAGAGAGAGGGAGACACAGAATCCAAAGCAAGCTCCAGGCTTGGAGCTGTCAGCACAGAACCTGAAGCAGGGCTTGAACTCACCAGGCCGTGAGATCATGACCCCAGCCGAAGTCGGACACCCAACCCACCGAGCCACTGAGGCGCCCCCAGCTTACCATTTTTATAAAGCTGCAAGTATATGCCAAATCAAGCAGTGTATTAGGGATACAAAGAAGGGATTTTAAAAAGCTATTTTTAAAGGTTTGTTTTGTTTATTTTTAAAAGTTTATTTATTGAGGGGTGGATAGGGAGGGTCAGAGAGAGGGAGAGAGAGAATTCCAAGCAGGTTAGGCATAATCAGTCCCCAAGTAGGGCTCAATCTCACCAACCCAGAGATCATGACCTGAGCCAAAATCAAGAGTCCGGGGCTTAATCAACTGAGCCACCTAGGTGCCCCTAAACAGCTATATTTAAAAGCAAGGGTATAGAGGCACCTGGGTGGCTCAGTCGGATAGGCGTGCGACTTGGGCTCAGGTCATGATCTCATGGGTCCTGAGTTCGAGCCCCGCATTGGGCTCTGTGCTGACAGCTCAGAGCCTGGAGCCTGCTTTGGATTCTGTGTCTCCCTCTCTCTGCCCCTCCCCTGCTCGAGCTCTGTCTCTCTCTCAAAAATAAATAAACATTAAAAAAACTTTTAAACAAAGGGCATGATAGACACAAGTCAGCAGAGTTTACCTCTGGCGGAGGGAGGCGTGGAGCTGGGATAAGGGAGGAACACACAGGAAGCAGCCTCTGTGCGTTAGGTATATTCCCTTCTTAAGCAGACTTGTGTTTCCACGGGGAGTCATTTTATTGTCATGTTTCACAATTACATGCACTCCATACGTTTTGTACATATTACATGTAATTAATTACAAGGTATATAATTTAAGTTATGTAATTTAAATAAAAACTTTGGATCCCTCAATTTTAACCCCTGAGTGTGCCTCCCCCAGGCCCTCCTCAATGCATGTGTCGCTCCTTAATCTCTGGCTTCTCCAGCGACGTCGGATGGCACCACCGGCCTCCGCGCCTACTGTCCTGCGTGGCCTTCCACCCCATGAAGGACCTCCGCCGCCGCCCTTCTCAGGCCTCCAAGCGCCCCCGCTGGCGCCCTCTCTGTTCCCCTGGCGGTGCGCACGGCGCCCCGCGCGCCCCCGCCGTTTGCTGCGCGCCCCGCGTTCCGGGCTCGGCGCCCCTGCGTCCCCGCTGCGCCAGCGCCCTCCACGCCGCGGCTCTGCGGAGCAGGGGCAGAGCCGACTGGGCCGGGCGGGCGTGGAGCCGCCGCAGCGGGATGGGCCTGAGCCCGGGCGCCCCCGGGAAGAGCAGGCTCCGCCTCCCTCGCTTCCCCCCGCGCGGCCCCAAACCCGCGTCTGCAGCCGCCGGTACGGGGTCGGAGGACCGGCCCCCCGCTCCTGGCGGCCCAGCGATGCGCCCATCAGCCTGGCGGCCGCCGCAGAAACCGGGCCCCTCCCCGCCGAGCCGCCGCGCCCCGGCCTGGACGCCCCCTTGGGGGGTTCTCAGGTCCCAGCGCGCCGTCGGACCCCCAGAAAAGTCACCAGAGTGGCCTTCGAGGCTCCTTCTCGCAGCTACGTGTTGATTGCGCGAAATGCCGGTTAACCGGAATGAGCGCAGAGTCGGGGAGGAGCATTTGTTAATTTTAATCAGAGCGAGCCCTGCGACTATGCTCGCGGCGGGAGTGTGCCAGCAGGGGTGGCAGCCCCGGGCAGGCGGAGTTGAGGTCGCCTCTAGGCTCCTAGCTTCCTTAGGAGCTTCTGCCGCCGGGTTTAGTCCCAGGATTTCTGGGATCTCCCTCCACCTTCTTCCAGATTCTACCCCTGAGAATTCCAAAGCCTTTCCTAACCTGAGGAGCTGAGACCTCTCCAGCACCTAGTCCCGCAGTCGCCTTCATTTATGCAAAAAAATTGACGGCTAACCAGGCCAGGCTCAGTTGGAGCCTGGAGCTCCGAGCCACCTTCACAGATTTCACTCCCTGTAGGAGGCAACTGTGGTTTAAATAGTATTCTCCCCTCCCCCACCTTTAGAAATATCATCTCAAGTGTTGGCCCAGCTCTCTCCCAAGCACCTGCGGCAGGGAACCTCGGAACTGGACAGAAGCGTCCAGGAGGGGTAAGAGACTCCGTATGGAAGGACTGGGTTTTAGGGTGTGGGGGGGGGGAGCCTTTTGAAGAACCGACCTTGATGGCAGTTCTGTAAATCCAGAAGTGATTTCCGTAGGAACCAGCATACCATTAACCAGTAAACGGAAGGCTGGTGTGCTCCTGATAATAACAGATTATGACCAGTTTGCTTCTTTTTAAGATTTCGAGGGTCTGAAAGTTCCCAAGAGAGCTATGCTGAAAATGAGGGGTTCCCTCCACCCCGCATACACTATTCTTTGGTGAAGAAGTGAAGCATGGGGAAAGGTCAAGAAAATGGCATTTGGGGGGTTGGTAATGTTCCAGATGTGTATATATGGTCTCTCATTTAGCCGTCTTGAGAATTATGTGAGACAAATACTCTCACCTCCGTTTTATAGATAATCAAACTGATGTTCAGATTCATTTACTAGTTCAAGGTTAGACAGCAAGTGTCAGAGCCAGGATTCAAACCCAGGTCTTTTTTATTTAGTTTTTTAAAGATTTTATTTTTGGGGGGCACCTGGGTGGCTTAGTTGGTTGTGTCCAACTTTGGCCTCAGGTTATGATCTCATGGTTTGTGAGTTCCAGCCCCCTACCAGGCTTTGTGCTGGCAGCTCAGAGCCTGGAACCTGCTTGGGGTTCTGTCTCCCTCTCTTTCTGCCTCTCCCCTGCTCATACTGTCTCTCTTAAAAATAAACATTAAAACAATTTTTTAAAGATTTTATTTTATTTTTATTTAAAAAATTTAAGTATTGGGGCGCCTGGATGGCTCAGTCGGTTAAGTGTCCGACTTCAGCTCAGGTCATGATCTCATGGTTCATGGGTTCGAGCCCCGCATCAGGCTCTGTGCTGACAGCTAGCTCGGAGCCTGGAGCTTGTTTCGGATTCTGTGTCTCCCTCTCTCTCTGACCCTCCCCTGCGCATGCTGCTGGTCTCTCTCTCAGAAATAAATAAATACTTAAAAAAATTTTTTTTAAATAAAAAAATAAAAAGTTTAAGTATTTATTTATTTTGAGAGAGACAGAGACAACATGAGTCGGGGGGGAGCAGAGAGAGGAGAGAGAGAATCCCAAGCAGTCGCCTTCCGGTCAGTACAGAGCCCGATGCGAGGCTTGAACTCATGAAATCGTGAGATCATGACTTGAGCCGAAACCGAGAGTTAGATGTATAACCGAATGAGCTACCCAGGCTCCCCAAAGATTTTATTTTTTTAAAGTAATCTCCCCACCCGAAGTGGGGATTGAACTCACAACCCTGAAATTAGGAGTTGGATGCTCTAAGGCTCTACCGACTGAGCCAGCCAAGTGTCTTTTGCCCCCAATATATTTCACTACACTATCCCAAAGCATGTTCCCGTCTTTGGTTTCAGCCCTCTCCTGCAACATTTTGTTCAAAGGACAAAATATACTAATTTCTTTCATGATACTTGCAGTCACACTATTGTGGCCTGATGAAATGTCTCAGAAATATGGAGCTAGTGGTTGGAAGAAATAGCTCAAGAGTTCAAGGTGCTTGCCCCTCACAGTTGGACCAGAAGAGAGAAGGGAGCGACAGAGTTCTACTGCATTTCATTAGAAGCCATTATGTACTATTACCATCTTTTTAAGCTATGCGTGTCACTTTGATAAACATGTAAGAAAGATGATCAGCAATTTTAAAAAGTCCTGAAAGCTACTCATTGCTATCGTTAGCATTTTATTTTATAATTTTTTAAAATGTTTTATTTATTTCTGAGAGAGAGAGAGAAAATGTGAGCAGGGGAGGGTCAGAGAGAGAGGGAGACACAGAATCTGAAGCAGGCTCCAGGCTCTGAGCTGTCAGCACAGAGCCCAATGCGGGGCTCAAACCCACGAACCGTGAGATCATGACCTGAGCCGAAGTTGGTTGCTTAACCAACTGAGCCACCCAGGTGCCCCTCATTAGCATTTTAAACAATTCTCTGAAAAGCAGTAAAGGGCAGTGATTTTGTATGACAGCTAAATGCGTGATCACAGAAGCAAGCTTCCGGGAAAATGTTTCCTAGAATCTGAAAATTGAAAGATATCTTAAAATCACACAGCTGAAGTGATGCAGAATGTCCAAGAATTGTGAAATAGTGTGATTCGTTAACTGCATGATCCCAACATTGGTTTAGGGAGAAGCCCGTAGTTAACTTGGAGACCACACCCAACCAGAAAAGATCAGAGGCGCATTCAACCCCAAAGCCTGAGAGTGCAGACAAATTAACAAAGCAAGCTGCCGAGGTGGGTATCAGGAGAATTCTTAGCGCATATCTGTAACGTGCCTGCCACTTCTCTGCAGACTGGGCTTTACTTTCTTTAGACTGTGTTGCAGGTTCAACTGCCTAGTGATTTGGGATGTTGGATATGCCTTCAAAAATGTTTTAAACACAGCTTTGTTGAACTCTTTATTGAGCTTTATTGAGGTATAACTGACATACAATAAACTGCCCATATTTAGAACATACAGTTGGATATGTTATGACATATGGGCACGCCCACGAAACCATCACCGCAATCAAGGTAATGAACATCTCCGTGACTTACAAAACTTGGTTTCCCTTTATAAATCCCCCCTTTTCTTGTACCAAGGAAGCACCTGATCTGCTTTTGTCCCTGTACATGAATCTGCATTTTCTAGAAATTTATGTAAATGAAATCAGATCCTATGTGCCCTTTTTGTCCATCTCCTTTCACCTAATTTCATGTAGTTATTTAAAGTTGTATCCAGGGGCGCCTGGGTGGCTCAGCTAGTTAAGCATCCGACTTCAGCTCACATCGTGATCTCGAGGCTAGTAAGTTCAAGCCCCGCGTTGGGCTCTGTGCTGACAACTCTTTGATTCTGTCTTTGTCTCTCTTTTCCCCTTCCCCCGCTCACTCACTGTCTCTCTCTCAAATATAAATAGACATAAAAAAAAAATAAAGTTGGGGAGCCTGGGTGGCTCAGTCAGTGGAGCGTCCGACTTCAGCTCAGGTCACCATCTCACAGCTTGTGGGTTCGAGCCCCACATCGGACTCTGCTGACAGCTCCAAGCCTGGAGCCTGCTTCGGATTCTGTCTCCCTCTCTCTCTGCCCCTCCCCTGCTCAAGCTGTCTCTCTCTCTCTCAAGAATAAATATTGAAATTTTTTAAAAAATTTTAAAAATTCAAGTTGTATCCATACTATTGGATGTCATTAATACTGGATTCCTTTTTATTACTGAGTAGTATTCCATTGTATGGATACACCGTTGTTTATCCATTTACCTGTTGATGGGCCTTTGAGCTGTTCCCAGATTTTGGCTATTAGAAATAAAGCTGGTATGGACATTTGCGCCCAAGTCATTGTACAGATATATGCTGTCTTTTCTCTTGGGTAAACACGTAGGGATGAAATGGCTAGATCATATGGTAGATGTGTGTGCTTAACCTACTATTTTCCAAACTGGTGGGACATTCCCACCAGAAGTGTGTGAAAATCCTAGTTACTCCATGTCCTCATTAGTATTTAGTAGAGTAAGTCTCTAATTTTAGCTATCCTAAAAGGTATGTAGGGATTTCATTGTGGTTTTAATTTGCATTTCCCTAATGACTAGTAATGTTGCACATCTTTTCATGTGCCCATTTGTCATCCATATATATCCTATTGGGTGAAATGTCCAAATCTTTTGCCCATTTTTTTCCTTGGTTTGTATGTTTGGGAGTTCTTCAGAGAGCCTGTGTGCAAGCCCTTCATCAGATACATGCTTTGCAGTCTTCTCTCTCAGTCTGTGGCTTGTATTTTCATTCTCTTAACAATACCTTCTGAAGAACTTTTTTTTTTTCAATTCGATGAAGTCCAATTTATAACTTTTTTCTTTGATGAATTGTGCCTTTGATGTAGTATCTAAGAAATCTTTGCCTAACCCAAGATCACAAAGGTTTTCTCCTGTTTTCTTTTAGATATTTTCATTTTTTAAAATTTATTTTAGAGAGAGTGAGAGAGAGAGCAGGAGAGTGGAGCAGAGGAAGAAAGGGAGAATATCAACACAGGGCTCGATCCCACCACTCCAGAATCACCGTCTGAGCTGAAATCAAGAGTTGGACACTCAGCCAACTGAGCTACCCAGCCACCCTTAGATATTTTAAAGTTTTAGTGTTTTGTTTTTTACATTTACACTTAGATCTTTGATACATATCGAGTTAAGTTTTGTATATGGCGTGAGGTACAGATTGAAGTTTTGTTTTGTTTTCCTTGTGGATGTCTGTCGTAGACTCTGGGTCTGGAGTTCTCTCTTGTCCAGCAAGAGAGCAGGACGCAGGATTAAAACTCGAGAGAGGCTAATGTCCAGAAGGAGATAAGAGCCCCAAGTAAGGGTCCTTGGTCTGTATTTATTAAGATCAGAAGGCTTACAAGCGTGATGGACGTGCACAAAGAGATAATGAAACCGTGAACATTAACTCATGAGGGAAAGGGGGTTTTGAAGATATGCGGTGTTAGGGGTTTGGGTCAATACCAAACAAAATCCTGGCGCTGGGCGGAAGGTTGTTTACAGCAGACATGAGGCGCCACCTCTGTTTACCTAAACCGGTCTAGAGGACAAGAAAGACAGAGCTTGCTACCTCAGGGTCAACAAGGCCCCCCTCTTTTGCTAATTAACTCCACTCTGGGCAACTTCACCTGCTGTGGTCTAAAGTCCTGTTTACCTGTTTACCTATATTGGTCCTTCCTTCCTGTGAAAGCAGCTTTCTGCTACGGTACTAAGTTGCGGGGCGTTTCCACCCTCAACACCTAATCTTGTTTACCTCATTTTTGATGCTTTCATCCTAAGACGTTTCTATTCCTATATCTTTGTCCTACACCGGGGTCCTTTGCCCCATTTACTTCATCCCGTTTACCCAGACTTGTGTGTGTTCATCCTGGAGCTTTCTAACTCTTTATGCCTTGTACACCCATCCGTGTAGGCTCAGGGAATTCCTAAGTTTATTCCCCACAGATATGCATTTGTCTTGGCACCATTTGTTGAAAAGACCGTTCTTTCTCCATTGAGTTGTCTTTGTACCTTCATAAAAACCAGTTATCTATGTACCGTAAGTCTCTTTCTGAGCTCTCTGTTTTGTTCTCTTGACCCTACTTGTCTATGGTGAGGCCAGGACCATACTATTTTGATTACTAGAGCTTTATAATAATCAAGTAATGCTAACCCTCCAACTTTGGCCTTCTTTTTCAAAGTTGTTTTGGCCATCCAAGGCTCTACAAAAAGCCTTCTGGGACTTTGATGGGAATCACATCAAATCTTTAAGACAACTGATATCTTAACAATATGGAGTCTCATAGCCCATGAGCAAGATGTGCTACTTATTTCTGTCATTTCTCTCAGCAATGTTTTATAAATTTCAGCATGCAGATCTTGCACATCTTTTGAAAGATTTTCAGATCTTTGGTCAGTATTTCATCTTTTTTGATACCACTGAAATAAAAATTTTTTTCAGATTTCAATTTTGAAAAATTTAAATGAAAAAAATTTAATTTCTGAACGTTTGCTGCTAGTAATTGGAACTACAGTGGACTTTTTTTAAAAAGTTTATCTATTTCGAGACTACACATATGTGAGAAAGAATGTGAGCTGGGGAGGGCAGAGACAGAGGGAGAGAGAGAATTCCAAGCAGGCTCCATGCTGACAGTGTGAGGCTCAATGGAGCCCAGCATGGGGCTCAATCCTATGAACCAGAGATCATGACCTGAGCGGAAATCAAGAGTCAGACACCTACCCAACTGAGCCACCCCCTATAGTTGACTTTTGTAGATTTACCTTCAACCTTGTTAGACTGACTTATTTGCTTTAGTATCTTTTGGGGGGTAGATTCTAGCAGACTTTTTACATAGATGATCATGTCATCTGCAAATGAAGACAGTTTTGCCTTTTCCTTTCTAATCTGGGTGCCTTTATTTATTTTTGTCTTAAATTGCACTAGCTGGGAACTTCAGTACAACTTGAACTCCCACTTGATAGCAGTGATGGGAGCAGATACGCTCGTCTCATTCTTTAACTTAAAGGGAAAACATCCAGTCTTTACCATTTAACATGATGTAAGCTGTAGGTTTTTCATAGATGCCATTTTATCAGAGCCTTTTATCCCTTTTTAAATGTGTTGAGAGCTCTTTTTTTAAAAAAAATCAGGAATAGACATTGAACTTTAACAAATGCTTTTTCTGTACCCATTGAGATCATAGCTTTTCTTTTTTAGTTTTAATTACACTGAGGGGTGTTCAAATGTTATAACAACCCTGAAATCCTGGGGTGGGGGACCCACACATGGCCATAATGTATTCTCTTTATACATTGTTTGATTCGATTTATAGAATTTTGCTTAGGATTTTTGTATTTATATTCATAAAGGGTATTGATCTGTAATTTTATTTTCTTGTAATTGTCTGGCTCTGTATTAAGGTAATGCTGGTCTTACGGGTTGAGTTTAGAAGTACTCCTACTTCGCGATATTCTTGTGTAGAATTCATATAATTTCTTCCTTTCATGTTTGGTAGAATTTACCAGCGAAGTCATTTGGACTTAGAGTTTTCTTTGTGGGAAGAATTTTAGTTGTAACTATAAATCCTTAATAGATATGGGATAGTCACATGATCTGTTTCTTCATGAATGAACTTTATTTTTTTAAAATATTTTATTGTCAAGTTGGTTTCCATATAACACCCAGTTCTCATCCTCACAAATGCCTTCTTCTATGCCCATCACCCCCTTCCCCTCCCCCCCACCCCCATCAGCCCTCAGTTTGTTCTCGGCGTTCAAGAGTCTCTCATGGTTTGCCTCCCTCCCACTCCCCCCCATTTCTCCCCTTCTTCTCCCCCACAGTCCTCCATTACGTTCCTCCTAATCCTCCTATATGCGCAAACATATGGTATCTGTCCTTCCCTGCCTGACTTATTTCGCTCAGCATAACACCCTCAAGGTCCATCCGTGTTACTACTCATGGCCAGATTTCATTGTTTCTCATTACCATGGAGTATTCCATGGTATAGATAAACCACTTCTTCTTGATCCATTCATCCGTTGATGGACACTTAGGCTCTTTCCATGTTTTAGCTATTGTAGAGAGTGCTGCTATGAACATTGGGGTACATGTGCCCCTATGCATCAGCACTCCTGTATCCCTTGGGTAAATTCCTAGCAGTGCTATTGCTGGGTCCTAGGGGAGTTCTCTTGTTAATTTTTTGAGGAACCTCCACACTGTTTTCCAGAGGCGCTGCACCCATTTACATTCCCACC